AAAAAAAAATTCTTTTATATAGAATTCATATTTTGTTGTTAATATATGTTCCTGAAGAATAGAAGACTCTTAAATGAAGTTCTTTCAACTTTCTAATTAAAGTAAATACAGATGTTTGACGTTTCTCATTTTTGTTCGAGAATATACTTAATAAAATTACAAATTATATAGAGTGAAAATAATGTTTGATGTATGATCATGTTGATATTATAACATTGAATGAAGTATATCTAAATTTAACATCAATATTTTTATGAGAATATGCGTAGATATGATAAAAATATGTAACAATCTCAAATGAAAAATATGTATATATTCTAGTTTAATTAAAGGTAATAAACTAAAGAAACGGAAGATTATTTTTTAATAATATAGAGTTGGCAGTATTAGACATAATGAATTTTATTTGGCAAAGAAAAAATCTAAAAAAATAAAAGGTTTCTGATGTTAGGATTTTTATAGTATCAATATATAATATTCTTTTCATCGTTGGAACTTTCTATGTCATTGGCGACTGACAAGATGTAAGTAAATAATTAACTAATCATATTCCTTGTGTATTATTATATATGTTTTATCACTTAAGTAAAAAATTTGAATAATAAATGAAAAATGATTGAATTCCTTTTTAGTTTCTTATTAATATATTATAATGATACAAAAATGCAATTCGCAACTATATAAATAGTCTATCACGTGTGAATGACACGAGGCAGATAAAACCGAGTTATAAGAACTAACCTATAAATTTCTGAGTAAAAAAGAACACAACTGAATAAAATATCACAAAAGAATTTCCTCTAGATTTTTTTATATCTTTATTATGTATAAATAAAAAGTTTTCAAAAAAATATATACTAAATTTTTTTTCTATTATTTTAATATTATGTCTCACTGAGTCCTTCGGTACATTCTAGATTATATATATATATATAGATATTTATTATTATTATTATTATTATTCTCTGAATATTGCAAACATAGACTACGACGACCCGAGAAATATGGAAACATTTTTTTTCCTGTTCTTCGGCGCCGTTTTTTTCAACCCAAAAATCCTTCTGTTTTTTTGCGTCGTTTTCTTTTTCTATTTTTTGCCTATACTCTATTCGTTTTGGTTGTCGCTACGCGTCAAAGGACTCCGTTGCTTGTTGATAAGGGAGGAAAAGAAAAAAAGAAAGAAGGACGCAAGTGCTTGCAGTACTTTAGCAACAATATAACGTACTTGTGGGTAAAAATAATCTATACGACAACGACACGAACACAGATTAGGAGACATCAAGTGCATTTTATTTTCTTGTTTAATCAGTTGATTATATGTACAAATTAAATCATTAGAATAAACCATTCATATCCACAGAAGGTATTTATTTTAAAAAAATCTTTTTTTTTTCTTCTTTTTATTGTATGATAATAATGTGTGTCTTGTTATTAGAACCTTGAACAGAGCAAATAGCTTGTTTTCTTTAAAAATGAAGACAAAAAATAATATTGTCCATGACGTATAAGATATTGAATTGGTTTTTTTTTGTTTCAAGAAAGCATGACGAGAAAAATAATCATTCGATTATCTAATTTTTCCAATCGATCGATAAAATGCACACATCATTTTTAATCAATAACAAGGTGTAACTAGTAAAATAGTAGAGAAAGATCGAAAACAAACTGAAGGATTCTTATATATATATATATATATATGAGAGTTTTGAATTAGTTTTCTATTTTTAGTTTTTAAATGAAAAAAAGGAAATAAATATTAGAAAGTCTTTTTGACGCCCAACTATATTAGAGATATGCACTTATAATGAATAACTTGAGTTTTATTATTGAACCGTGCATAATGAAACGCTTCTTTTTTTTCAATATTTAAGAGCCTTCGGTCGACGCACGTGTCTGGACACGAGCAGTAATATAGTGCGTTCATCCACAAGATTATATACGTTCGTGGATAAGTATAGAAACTAGACAATTATTTAGTTTACATCCTTGACTAAATGTAACATATGCTTCAACCATTTTTAATATATGTACATTTCATAATAAAATATGACATAGATATTGTATTTTTTGTCATTGAAAACAAATAAATGATCATTACTGTTAGTTATATTTATTTGTTTCCGTTATATTTTTTTTCCACTTACAGTTTTCTTCTTTTCGATTAATTAAATCAATCGATATGATCTACTTCTTTAAAGTAAGACAGAAATGTCCTTCATGAAAAAATCTATACTCATTGACAGAAAGAAAAACGAGGGTGTGGATACAAAAAGAAAAAAGTTTCAAGTCCTCTTTTTTTTTTTCTCTCTTCCCTTCTCGATTCATCTTGTTATTATAGACGAAAGAGAAAAAAAACACAGAACGTGGAACAACTATTACTCAAGTGCAAGCATACATACTGTTACCTTCATAAACATATATATACGCTTTATATTACAAGTATAAGACAAATCTATTTTGATACGTCCCGGTGAAAGTAATGTTCGATATTATGAATACGTATAATAATGATGATAGACATTATCGATATGGGAAAAATGAAAACTACGATAATAATTCAATACTTCTGAATCGTGTATCAAAAAAAGGTAAAAGATTGATATTATATATTTGAAAAAATAGCATTTCTACTATTAATGATAGCGATAATATGATATGATAGATAAAAAAAAAAGAGAAAAGCATTGACGTATAAACTTGATTTATTTTTTTTTTATCTTATATAGAATAAAACAAAACAAACTAAAGTATAATAATAAGAAAACGTAGAAAGATTATCTTGAATATGTTAGACTACTAAATGTTTTTTTCAACTCTAGAATTTCATTTGTTATTTTTAGATGCAATCTCATCTTGCAAATCGTATTTCACCTGGCGACCCATGTCGTGTCTGCGGTTTCGAAAAAAATACAGGCCGAAATTTTGGTGTTATTACTTGTTCGACGTGTAAAGCTTTTTTTCGACGAAATGGTCGAGCTAGTTCCGTATGTTTAATTAATTGAAATAGGAAATTCTCATTGTAAACATTTTGATTTCATTATAGATTTTACCACCTTGTCGTTTCGGTGGTCATTGTCCAGTTAATGAACGTACACGACGACAATGTCCAGCTTGTCGTTTAGCAAAATGTTTTGCGGTTGGTATGCAAAAAGATTTAATACGAACGGATGAAGAACGTGCTGCTCGTTTACAACTTGTTAAAGCAAATCGTTTACAACGACAAGAAAAAATTATAATAGGATCATTATCATCATCATCATCACCATTGCAAAAACATAATCGTCATATGTCACATGATGTAAGTCAAAAGTGATAAACAAAAAACAGTTATATTTACTTTTTCTTTATAGTTATCTGCATTAAATTATCTTTCAATTGATAAATGTTCAGCACCATTATCATCAAATGATTGGATACAAATAACTAATATGCAAAGTGCATATGATCATTTTTGTTTACATCCAATATTACAAGCTGAAGAACAACGAGAAGAATATCTAAGTGGACAACCAATTAAATGTCGATTAAAAGAACATACATTTATAAATCTATTAACTGTTCGTCTTACATCATTAGTATCATTTTTTTCGTGCAACAATTCCATCATTTTCAATGGATATGAATAGTAATGATCGTTCATGGTTAGTTAGAACTAATATACATTATTTATTATTATTTTCATCAATGGATTTAATGAATTTAAATAATAATATTGTACATTTTGATCCAAAACGATGTTGTAATACTGTTTATGTACATGTTTATGGACATGATGTTCTATCGCGTGCAGAATATTTAATACGAAAATTAAATAAATTAATTGGTCATGATCCAGTTATAAGTAAAATTGTTCAAGTTATATTATTTCTAACTCCATGTCTAGTAACAAATTATAATCCGGATTTTTATTATCAACCATTTGAAAAAACAATTCGTCATATAGTACAAGCACAAGAACAATATACTCATATATTATGTTCTTATTTGACGTATCGTTATGGAGAAATTGAAGGACAAAAATTATTAATATCTATTATAGGAGAAATTCTTGAACATCAAAAATTTGGAGCTGATGTAGATAGAATTTTACTTGAACGACAACCCTTTGCTAATCTTGTTTATACAATGTTAATGTCATTTTCGCTCAATTAAAAAATCCTAAAGACAAAACTTTAATACGTACACATATACATATATACATATATACTTGTTTTATCTATTTCTCAATTGTCGTCAAATACGGTGATTTCTGTTTTAACAAAGCAAAATAAACATAGAGTGATTACACTTTTTTTCTTATATTTAGAGGAAAAAAAAGAGAGACATATTTTTTTTGTTTCTAATTTAATGTTTTCTTCATGTTCTTTTTTTTTTGTCTTGAAAAAAATACTGTTGCATTCTTTTCATTTTATTTCGATATAAATTTAAATAATATCTGTGAAACATTAGTTAACTTCGAAAAGAAAACATATGCTCTAATTTATACAAAACTGATAAGAGTACAATAAAAGTCAATAGTACAAAGTATATATTCCCTGTGATATCAATAGGGCAAAGTACTATATCACACAGAAGCATCTGTGAGATAAAAGACATTAGACTATTAATCGACTTGTTTATAAGAAGAGTAATAGATAGAATAAAAGGAAAAACGTAAATAACTATTTTAACCATACAATCATCATTTTCGATGTATACGTCACTGAAAAAAATATTGCTTTGTACGCCCTTGGTAAAGGATGTATTTTGATAATTCGATAGAATGAAACAGAAAATAAATTTTGTATGTTTTTTTTACTTGCATGTAATGTGAATAAGAACTTATTATAAGATTAAATAGTCATTGGGGAAATCATTTACGTATCGAGTAATTATTAAGTAAAAGAAACTTCTAATTACAAGTTGTCCCACAACTTTTATTTATTTTATTCGTCGCTGTTTTTTTTTTCTCTCCAGTCATATATTTTTTTGTAATGAAGAATAAGGTGAAAAACACAACGTTGTTTTTCTGTCTCAAGTACATGCGATTGGCCAATGATAAACTATTTGTGATGTGTTATTGACGTAGATAATATTTGCAAAAGAAATATAATAACTCAACGAACCAGTAATTATCTATTCTTACAATAGGATATATACATTTTTTGTTTATAAAATAAGTACTTTGTATTTCATCAATAAACGATTACAAAGAACAAGGTCAAGAAGTTGAAAACAAACTTCATGAATATACATTCTTTTTCCTATTTAATAGTTTTTGTTTTTGGATCAATTAAAAGATGTTTAAAATTGTATACAAGTAGTGACCATCAAAAGATTTATTACATCGACATAAAATATTCATTCGCGATTGCATTCATCAGTAGGTTTTCTTCTACTTAATTATCTGTCGTCAAATAAGTCTCCAAAAATTGTATACACAATAAAAAAAATCTATATTAATACTCTGATATACAATCAAAAGTTTTATCATTTGATGAATATTTTAATTACTCGTCTGCTTATATGTTTGCACTGTAATACATGTGAAAGCGATGTTGATGAAAAAAAATATTATCATGACTTTTGAAGTTATGAATAGTGTCCTTTTGGCTTTCTTAACAATATCTTAATTAAACGGCGTCTAAATCGGATGTTTGTTTCAATTTTCTACTTGCTTGGGTTTTTATATTTATTATCTCTCTCATCTATCTTATAATTAATAATGTAGATTAACATCTAATGTGCAGAAAAATGTTTAGATGCTGAATATTTAAGTGCAAAATCTATCTTTATATCTTGACTATCGATATACAACACAACTTAATTCAGATAGATATGATTAAAAACAATCAGTATATTCCGTAATGAAGATTACAGTTTCTTTCAAAAGAATTCGGGATAATATTTAAATAAAATTAGTAAAAAAATAGCTTTCTTTTTTTTGACACATTCTGTTTAGAATCTTTTGTCAAATAATTTTGATTGTTATGACGAATTTGTAAAAGATATGAAATATTCTGCAATATGACAAAAACTTCTCACTAGCAATGTCAATTAAAATAGAATGAAGAATAATTCTCCTGTCTTTTTTAATATATAATTTCTTTGAATACTAAAAAATATATACTTATAAAAGTTAACGAACTGGCTACTAGCGACATCTTCGCTGTGAAAAACTTTTTTCTTTCTATAAAATATCATTGTTGTTTAATTGTTAAATGAGACTTGTATGTACATGTTACTTTTCGATACATCAGACTTTATCGTTTTACATATAATAGTACTAATGACTCTTTTCATTCAATTGGCTGACTGATTTTCATGTTACACTTCTTATTCGATCATATTTATCTATCTATCTTTGTGTTTCTTGTTTTTGGTATATTTTTTTTGCTTCGTCATCCTAATAGTATGATATTTTTGAGTACTATATATTCTATGTACTTGCCCTTTTGAAATTAACGCAGTACTTAGAATAATATTTTTGTTGTTTTTGAAATAGGTAGTCACGTATTTGAAATTACTGGCGCGTAAACAGTGTTTGATCATATACACCTATAGTTATTTTTATTATTGGAGTTTTTTTGTATAATAGTTGTATTTTACACAATAACAAGTGTGTCAGATAAGCATTTGTTTTAGCACCACAATAAGATTATCTGTTTTTTCGTTTCGAATATGCAATTTCAAAACGAGAAAGAGTAAAATTTTTCAATGGTTTTATTTTATTAAGTAGTAGACTAAATAGAGTATAGAACTAATATTCAATTTTGTTTTGGTTATTGCATCACTCGTCAGGTTTACTTTATCACAAAAAAAGCAGCGATTATGATGATTTTTCATCATGGGGATAATGATACATATACCGATATTTTTTTATTATATAATAACATTACCTATTCTTACATAAGTCATCTTTCACAAATTATTTTCTATATCTTTAGAATTCATCCTACCACAAAACTTCAAACAATGGCTTCAAAAGCTGTCAGTGGTAATAAAGCACGTATTAATATTATCTACTATTCAATGTACGGTCATGTCTCAACATGTAGGTTGATTTATTAAATCTATAAAACATAATTTAATTGCATGTTTATTTCTAGTGGCTAAATCAATATTAAAAGGTGTTGAAGCTGCCGGTGCTGAAGCACGTTTAATTCAAGTACCAGAAACTTTGTCAAAAGAAGTTTTAACTAAAATGCATGCACCAGAAAAAGATAAAAATATCCCAACACTCTCATTCGGTGGTGAAGGAGAAAATACTGTAACAATTGAAGATGCATTAGTTAATTGCGACGGTATTGTATTTGGTTTCCCAACACGTTTTGGTGGAATGCCAGCACAAGTTAAAGCTGTATGGGATGCAACCGGTGGATTATGGATGAAAGGTGCACTTATTGGAAAACCAATTAGTGTCTTTTTTTCAACTGGAACACAAGGTGGTGGGTAAGAATATATTTCAAATAAAAATAAATCGAACTTTATGATTATCTCTTAGACAAGAAACAACAGTATTAACATCATTAACAAATTTTATTCATCATGGAATGTTATTTGTATGTATTTAATTAACTTTTTTTTTCAATGTTATCATTTAAAATTGTTCTTAAATAATAGGTACCCATTGGTTATTCAAGCCCACTTTTAGGCAATATGGATGAAATTCATGGTGGTAGTGCATATGGTATCGGTAAGTTATTTATCGTGTTATATATATATAGATTCGATTATCTATTTTATAGGTACTTTTGCTGGTCATGATGGTTCACGAAAACCATCAGATTTAGAATTAAAAATAGCTGAACATCAAGGATCACATTTTACACAAGTAGCAACCGCATTGAAAATAGGTCGCGCAGCAATGCCTCCAAAAGAAGCCGATCCACCTAAAGCATAACAATGATAAAATCAATAAAACGACGATAATAAACTCTTAGTTGATTTTTAAAATCTGTTCTTTCATTTCAATATTTTTATGCTAAACCGATCAATTTAGCTACTAGTAGATAACCATACTATTATTTTAATAAACAACATGCCTTATTCTTTTTTCATTAAAATCTTTATAGTATATAAATTTTATTCATTAATACGCCTGTTACGAAATAAAATATAACACACTATTCAATGTATAAAGAATCCTAGAAAATAAAAATTATTCATTTAAGACATGTCGCTCAATTAATAATTGATTGTAGTTAACAAGCTAATATGTAGATGCTCTATACTGTATGAACCATAGTAAAATATTTTTGATAATATCGCACCTGAGAAAATCTATCATCATCATCAACTAATAGTATGTTGACTGTTGAATAGCGCCCTCTTTAGATGAACTTTATTTGACTTGATAATGTTGTACATTTCTGATGATACTGCTATTGCTGTTGGTACAATTTATCTAATCATTCGTCTTGTTTGTATTTCTTTTGTTCCACTCATTGATCAATGTGAATGTACTATACTGCCAAATGAAAATATCGTACTCAAACTGATTATTTGGTAAGAATGTTAGTATATGTTTTTATTATGAAATAAAAAATTTTGTTTTTTTGATTTTTTTAGAAAGATTTGTAACAGTGAAAAAATGTTAAAAGATGAAATTCGTAAGAAGGAAGAAGATGAAGCAGCAAAAGCTCATGAACATTTAATGAAATCATCGGATAAGAATGATGAAGAAAATGATCATGAGAAACTTGTTGAAAAAGCACTCGATGAAAAAGTGGAAAAAGAAGGAATATCCGAAAATTCAACCGATTCAGACGAAAAAATTGAACAATTAAAAGAAGAAAAAGAAGAAAACGATGAAAAAGATGAAAAACCAAATGATGATTTAAATGGATCAACAGTTGAAATTGTTCAACCAGCTGATTTAAAACCAAAACATCTTGGTTTTACTCGAACATTGTTATTAGCTATGTTTGCTGCAATGATTGGTACCGGCGCTCAATTTGGTTATGCATTAGGTGTTATGAATGCTCCATCAGAGGTAAAAATCTCTGAAATATGTTTTTTTTCTGTTTATAAACTATATTTTTACTATTTTATAGTTAATCAAAAATTACACTCAACAAATTTATTTAAAACGCTATAATTCAACAATCAGTGAATATAAGCAAGATATTTTATATTCAACAGCTATTTCTGTTGTAGCATTGGGAGGAGTTTTAGGTGGTCTTTTAGCTACACCACTGAGTGATCGATTTGGACGGTGAGTTAAGATTTATATATTGACTCTTATTCTCATCTATAATTTCAGGAAAACTGGTTTACTTCTAAATAATATTCCAGCTGTAATTGGTTCTGTGTTGATGGTACTTAGTAAATTTATAGGTTCATTTGAAGCATTTATCGTAGGTCGAATTCTAATTGGATTTGCTGCTGGTTAGTTATATATACATTTTATTATTTTTTGAGAAACTATATATTTGTTTGTAAAGGTTTTGGCACAAATGTGGGTCCAATATATATCAATGAAATAGCTCCAATACGTGTACGTGGTTCATTCGGTGCTTGCTTTCAATTGTTTGTAGCTATGGCTGTATTATTAGCTCAAGTACTTGGTTTAGATATTCTCTTAGGTCGTGAACATTTATGGCATTATCTATTTGGTTAGTTCGTTTTTTTACTTTATATATTTGTATTCTTTATTTTACTTTTAAAATCAATAGCTGTACCTATTATCTTCAGTATACTTCAATGTACTTTATTGGTATTTACACATGAAACACCGAAATTTCTTTTACAAAGAAAACGTCGTCGAGCAGCTGAACGAGGTTTAATGATTTTAGTTATTTTTAAAATGAATAAACATATTTTCTTTAGCATTAAAATGGTTTCGTTGTGAAACAAATTCTGAAGTTGTACAAGCAGAAATTCATGAAATGGAAGCAGATTTTAATAATCTTCAAACTAATTCTACAAAAGTAAGGAATATAAAAGTAAAATTAAATTTTTAATAAAGTTTTAATTCTTTTTTCAGATAGCTATTCGTGATTTATTTACAAAACCACTTCTTCGTAAATGTATTCTTATTTCGGCTATGACTCATGTTGCTCAACATTTTACTGGTTGTTATGTTGTATGTTATTAAATTTCATATAGAAAATTTTTATTTATTTAATGTTTCTCTCTTAGATCTTTTTCTTTGGAGATATACTTCTTTTCCATGCACATCTACGAATGGATTATGCTTCATATGCAATGCTTTCATGTGGTATTACATATTTAGCTGTAGCAATATCATTAGTATTCATTCTTGATAAAGTTGGACGACGATCACTTTTTCTATGTAAATAATTCGATAAAAAGAAAGAATAATGTTATAGAATTTGTCTTTTTCGTATAGATGGTTTAATTGGTATGGCAGCAGCAACATGTGTAATTGGTGTTACTATTCTTAAATCAAGAAATGTAAGTTTAAAATATTATTTATATATTCACGAAAATAATGAACCTAATAAAAAAGTCTATACGAGAATAGATTTTTATCATTATTATTCTACTTTTGGAATATTCTCATATAAGCGGAAAAGTTCTAAATCATTCTTATGTTATAAATCCCATTAGATAGTTTCTAAGTATTTGATTAAAAATAAATTTTTTATCATAGATTCCTCTCTTCCACATGATCTTTTTGGAAATATTCGCTATGATGGCAAATGTCGGGTTCTGTGCAATGGGCCCAGGAGCTATACCTTGGATGTTGTCAACAGAAATGTTCTTTCAATCAGAACGAGCTTATGCATCAGCTGTTGCTATTATAGTTAATTGGTTATCAATGTTTTTTATAATCATGACATTTATTCCACTTTTTGTAAGTAGAATATTATTTTCTCAGATAAAACAAAACTATTAATTTGATTATTCTATCTTTTAGTATGCTGTTGGTGCATTATTATTTCTATTTTATGCAGCAATGAGTTGTATGTTTTGGTTACTTGCTTTTCTTGTTATACCTGAAACACGGCGGAAAACACCAGAGAATGTACAAATTCTTGTTGCTAAAGGAACTGTTTACAAATCAAAACATCAACAATAATTATCAAAAATTGATTGCTCATTTTTTCTCTTCTGTTTAACATACCTAGTCATTCATGTTAATCATGCTACCTCAGGCCATATCTTTAATCTATGAATACGAGGTAGTGGCTTTTGTCTTTGTAAATAAATTTCAAAATATCTAGCTCAGCTCATTCTTATTCCAGCATAGCTTATTATCACGTTTGTTTGTTTTTTACTCTAATGAATCTTTATTATGTATTTGTTGCATTTATGTTCCTCTTTTGCTTGTGTTTTTTGTGAAAATATTCAACGATAGTTATTGAATTGATTATAGCAAAATCTTTAATCGTAGAACGAACTGTTTATATATTGTTTCTTTGAAGTCGAATAAATTTTCAAGAAAAAAAAAGCAGCAAAATAGCTGAACTTTGTTTTTATATATTTTATGAAGGAATCGAACCCTCTAAATTGAAATTTTTTACAACTAACAACTAGATTTATCATCTTATTAGATAAAATTTCACCTTCATTTATTTTATTTATTAATTCATTGGTAGTTGTTTTCTTCTAATTTTCACAAAGAAAAAACTGATATTTCTGTTATATACGCAGTATTTATGTATACTCTTTAGTTACCCTGACAACATATGCATATCTTTGAATCTCTATAAAACAGAGAATTTTAAAAAGTCTCGCAGAGAGATATCATATCGAAAATTTGCCTTTTAAAAAAAAGATAAGAGAGGTTAAAGGTAAATGATAGTCGAGGGTGATTATATCACATTTCTTTCAGGACTCGAAAGTTAAAAGTATGTATATTAATTTTAGAATAAAGCATCATGAGCAATTCTCCATCTTCAACACATCTACTTGCTAATAACGATCAGAAAGAATCTGATATTGTTGGAAATAATGCCAATTATTCAGCAACTGCATCTAATATTAACTATGATAATAATTCATCTCCTCTCAATAATGTACAAAATGTTGACAAAGTTTCTTGATTTAATACACTATAAAGAAAATATTTATCTGAATAATTTCATAGGGTATGACTAGTACATTATTATTAGCCGTATTCGCTGCAGTTAGTGGCACTGCTTTTCATTTTGGTTATGCATCGGGTGTTATGTAAGTTTATTAAATCGAATAAATTTTTTTCATGAATATTTTTCTGTGTTTTTGTCGTAAACAGGAATTCTCCACAAGATGTAAGTATTTTATGGGAAGAAAGGATTTTTTTCAAAAACAAAATCAATCCTTTAGTTTATTCAACAATTTATTAATGAAACAAATCATAGAAGAAATAATGAGACAAAAATCAGTGATTCAACTGTGACATTGATCTTGTAAGAAAATCTAACTTTTTTTCTTTATTTAAAAAAAATTGTTTTTTTCCAGTTCATTTGCTGTATCTATTTTTGCTCTTGGTGGTATGTTAGGCGGTTTGTTCGGTGGTTTCGTTACTGAACGATTGGGACGGTAAAAAGAAATTTTAAATAAAATTTTTCATGTATTTATTTTTTCTATAGAAAAGGTGGAATGTTTTATAATAACATAGTGTCTTTTCTTGCTTGTATCTTAATGTTTATGTCAAAACCTTTTTATTCATATGAACTTTTAATTATTGGACGATTTTTTCTTGGACTTGCTTGTGGTAATAATCATAAAATTCTTCTATTGATTATTTAATTTTGAAAATAAATATAGGTTATGGTTCATCCGTAGCTCCAACTTATATAAATGAAGTATCTCCTATGAATCTACGTGGTACATTAGGAGCTTCATTTCAATTAGGAGTTGTTCTTCTACTTTTTGTTTCACAAGTAATTAGTTTAAAACCAATACTGGGTTCTGAAACTACATGGCATTATGCTCTAGGTAAAAATTATTTTAAGAATTAATATAAAAAGATTTACTCTTCGTTTTTCTTTATTTTAGGTTTACCAATTGTACTTAGTGTTTTACAAGTAATCTTACTTTGTTTTGTACCAGAAAGCCCAAAGTATTTATTAATTAAAAAAAACAATTCAGTTGAAGCTGAAAAAGGTTAGTTTATTTTTTTTTTATAATAGAAGAAAAATTACAGTGCTTGATTAAAAAGTTAAATTTTTCTGAGATTATTACTCATCAAAAAAGAATAATTTCTCCTTTTTATTATTTGTAAGTGATCGTCGTTTGAAGAATGGTGGCATTGCTGTTGTAGATTCTTCTTCTTCTTCTTCCTCTCCTTCTGTTGGTGATGAAGTTTCATCAATAGTTGCAGATGTTGTTGATTCTTGACCAATATTTGTTTGTTCAGTTGTTGTACTTGTCTCTGTATCAGTTTCTTTTACTTTGAAAATAAGAGCGGGACTGATCAAAACATATTTTCCATTAAAGATTCTCTTGACAGTAAACGTTGGATGTGGACGTTCTAATTTTGCAGATAAAGCCTGAGGTACACGAATATTATTTGATAAACGATATGTCGACCATTTATTTTCATCAAGTTCGTCAGATATTTCGTTATCTGTATTTTCATGATGATGTTCTGGTCGTGCCATAATAGCTGTTGCCAAAAAACCAAAAGCAAGAAGAAATATTGTCGTTGAATACATGTTTTGTTTTGTCGAGAAATAGATTGAAATGATAGTTATAATTGATCCTTCATCATTCACATATATATATATATATATATTTTTCCATACATTTTAAAGCTCTTGTTAAATATATTGACATCAGGATTTTAGATGGGTATTAATCAGTAAAACCTTGAAGTAATAAACGAAAATATTTGGATTAAATGAATGAACAATGAAAAATATTAAAATATACGATCTTGGTTAATATTACAATTAAGAAGAAAATAAATATCTGATTAGCTTAAGTCAACAGTTCGATACGGACGAATTTTACTGAATAGGTTATTCAGTGTGAATGATATGTAGTACGCAGTAATTTTTAATAATTTAATACGTAGTAACTAGTACTTGATAGACTAACGCACATATAACTCGAAGATTGAAAAAATTAATATGATAGAATAGTTTGGTAATTATTATTTATTTTTAGCACTCCAGTGGCTTCGTCAACAACCAAATGTTCAATCTGAAATATCTGCTATGCAAGATGAACAAAGTCAAAATCAAAATTCAGTATAGAATTTTTCTATTTCTTCTAATTTTCTTTCATACATTTTATATTTAGGCTCGAATGATTGATTTATTTACAACACCAACAGTACGTTGGGCATTACTTATAACAGTATTTCTTCAATTATCTCAACAATTATCTGGTATCAATGCCGTTATTTATTATTCATTATCGATATTTCAATCAGCTGGCTTCAGTAAAGAAGTATCTTCATATGCAAATTTAGGTTTAGGTGGAGCAAATATTATCGTAACAATAATAAGTGTTTTTCTTATGGATCGTCTTGGTCGACGTATTCTTCATCTTACAGGTCTCGGTGGAATGTTTATAACAAGTCTTATTCTTGTTATATCACTTCTTGTTCAACCAACTCCATTTTGGAATATGATGTCACTTGTTATGACTATTTTATATGTTGCATTTTTTGGTATTGGACCTGGATCAATACCATGGTTAATCACAGCGGAATTATTTAGTCAAGCATATCGTGTACCAGCTTCAAGTATTGCAGTATTAGTTAATTGGTCAGCTAATTTTGCAGTTGGTCTTAGTTTTAAACCTCTTTTTACGGTAAAATTTAACAAAATTTTATATTATACTTTTTAATTTTTGTTTTTCTCAAGGATGTTATGCATAAATATACATTTTTATTATTTACTGGATTTTTATTAATATTTTTTTTGGGAACATTTTTCTTCGTACCGGAAACCAAAGCAAAAAATGTTGAAACAATCTATGCAGAAATAAATGCTGGTCAAGTATGGCGTAAACGTCAACCAGGAACACATTCTTTTGAAAATCCATCTGGTCGAATTGATAATGTTGGTACTACAGTTGGCTATCAGTCATTATGATCAATACAAATCGTTCTTATTTATTAAAAACGCTCTGTTTAGCTTAGTTTTTACTAATAAAGTTTTAGATACTTGTTCGATTAACTATCTTCAATCATTGATTTATTGATCAAACATCACTTTCTATATTCTTGATAAACCAATTGTTCAAAAGAATTGACATAGGATATCTTAGATCGAGATTCACACACGAAGGTAATCGAACTAAATTAACAATTGGCCAAGATAGAATTGTTTTATTGTATTCGTTCTTTGTAGAGAAAAATGGATGTGGGTTATAGATGTAAACTGTATAGTAGTAGAAGAGAAAGAATCAGTACATATATTTTATAAGTACGGTAAGAGATGTGCATTGTGTTTCATAGAATTGTATAAATCTCAAAATAACTATCTAACACAAAAAAAA